CTGCCTCCCACCTCTCACCCTTTCTCTTTACAATGGCATTTTGGCCTTATTACTTATTAGAATCAGAAGCAAAACATCCATATCCTTATAACATCCATATCCTTATAAATTAGAAAATGTTTAATAAGAACGAGCTTGAACAAATTTTTATTATAATGAAAGGATTAAGGTGAACGATAGCATTAATATTTAGGAAAAATTAAACAAAATTGCTTTTTATCTGCTGCAAACTATCTTAAATATTTAATATGCTACATTACAGTGGCATCATTTCAACGAAGGGTACGACAACCTTTCCATAATAAGCCTTCATTTTAGTGGTTTAAACTTAGTTGGAAGACTTCTGAAAGCTGAATCCAACACGATGTGCAGATTTTCTAGGTAGGAATAACTGAGCCAAGCTCCTAGACCTGCACAGATGATCCACGACAGAAAGCCTTGCAAAGAGGGGGTCTAACAACACCAGGCCCCCCAAGAGCTCTACTGACCCAACACACAAAGTTTAGAAAGAAGTTCTGAGCTTAATAGTTCTGGAGCTTGTGAGAAGCCTTTTCCTTGCTTCTGATTGGTTATATTTTTAGTCAACTTTAAAATAATAATACAAAACAGCCATGCAAGAATTTTCAGGTGATAAAAGGCTGATTTTTTTCTCAGCAATTTTGTGGAAGCAAATGTCTATGCAAATACTGTGGGAAGCAAATTCCAGCTCTCAAATTAGGCAAATATAACCATTTATAACTGAAGAGAGGTGATAAATCACGATAGGAGCACTAATATGGTTCTGAAAGACAGCAAATATTTTTCTGCATCCTAGAGGCCTGGAAATTTTCATTTTTTATAACTTTTAAAAAATAAAATTTCTCAAAAGGTATCAAAATAAGTAAAAACACAAAATCAAGTTGGACCTACTTACAGGTAGGTATTTAGTGAAATTTTAAGGTAATAAAGTAGTAATGCAGTGAATTTCATAGTAAAACTTTGTTGCTTTCAGATCAGGGAACTGAGCAACAAACAAAAAGAGGAATGTTTCTTACAATAACCTTCAAGAAATCTATTATCCTTCACCTTTATCCCTCTTCCTGTAAAATTAAGTATTAAAAACTAGCAATCATTGTACTTCTGTACCTGTGTCATAGATACATATATATGGGTCAGATTTCTATACTGCCTACCAGGATGGGACCCAGAGCCAAAAACAACAGAATTTTACAACTGTCTTTCTAGAGGGGGCCAAATTCCTAAAATCAGCGTTTCACAATCCATGCGCTCCAAGAAAAAAAATAAAAAAAATAAAAAAATAAAAAAATAAAGTGTTTGTTCTTGTTTTTTTGAAGCTCTCATTCTACCCCAGCTGACTTCCATTTTATTCCCCCAGGCACTGGTTTCCATCAGTATTGCACCCAACGCTGCAATTTGACCGGAGGGCACTTTCAGGGCTATCCCTTCACCACTGTTGTGCAATCCAGGTGTTTTTTCCTGCCTTTCCTACAGAAACTGTAAAAAAAAAAAAAAAAAAGCAGCTCCTCTTCACAGTTATAATCATCGCAATTGGCTTCTTATAGTCTGACAGAATATGTGACTTCTGTTTCTGAATACAGCTAAAAATTCATGTCCACAATACACAATTGTTTTCAAAGCATCATTTTCTGATGTTCATGTTTTGCATTCAAGAAAATACAGCATGAAGCAGAAGTCAAAGATACAAAAGTCCTTATTAGAATCTAGATTTCTGGCTCTGATCCACCTACCTATACTTAACCTGCTACAAAAATTTTAGAAGAAGCATTTACGTTTCCCCACTTTTTAGTTTCATATTTTGCAAAAAATGACTAATGGTTTGAATACCATTTTGAAAATCCAGCTATTACTTTTGAAACCAAGCTGGAAGATATCCAGAGCAGCCTTGCAGAAATCCTGCTCAACACATCTTGAGGTTGGAGTCTCAGTTACCACTCATAATATAGTAAAATGATACCATATTTTTAATAATCTTGATGACGCTTTCTAAAAAAGCATCTTTTCAAGCTTGACTTCAGTCACACAAGTGTTTACAAAGGGTCACCGGATTTTAGCACATTTTAAAATTTATGAAATGATTTTAAAGAAAAAGTAAACCACAAACATAGGCATACTAACATAAACAGCGAGCCCAGAACTGCAGCTTGAAAGTAGAACTCAAAATATCTGTATTAAAGGTGAATCTTAAACAAAAAACGTTTTTTATTGAGGAATTGGTGAGCATTATTAAATTCGCATGCATGTGGCTCATGCTGTCAGGCAGAATGTATTAGTGATACTTGTAAATGCTGTTTGTATTTTGTGCATCTGCCATAAAGCATTCCAGCTTCACTTACCAGAAGGTTTTCTAAGCCTTAATCCACATTTTCGATAGCTTGAAGAGAAATTGTTTTTATTAATTATGTGTTAAATTGGAGCTATAAACGGCCTTCTTTATGTTAGTAGAAGATTCTGTCAGTGGATATGTCTTTTTAACACATTGCACTTTTAAAGAACCAAAATACCAGAAAGATACTCAACCAATAACTTGGATTTGCACCTAAAACCATGTATTAATTTTTGAAGCATAAAAGCAAACCTCAGCTTCAAGGGTACATATTAAGGTACTGAAAGGCTAGTTTGCATTGACAATGTGTATACTTGACGGAAATTTTACTAGCATGATCCCCCCTTTCAACTAAACCAAAACAAAACACTAAAGTACAATAAAAGAGCAAGTCTACTGACATGCAACCATGTAATCTTTATTGCTATTTCTCCTCCTTTCCCCACGCATAAACAGCTGTGAATGTCTCGATGGTTTGGTAGAGAACAGCTTTCCTTATACCCTCAGAATTTCAGGGGAAGCCACACAGTGGCAGTACTGTGAATATAAATGCTATGCTCTATTGTGCAGCAAGATAGGAGTCTTTTGAGAACTAAAATACAGTTCCCCATCTTTGGTCACAGTTCAGTTCACTGTTACTTTATATAGAAGACATCCTGGTTCCTACTGCTCTAAGAGTGGAAGAAAAACATGTAGTCAACATGTAATTTATTTCCTTCTGTAATTTTAGTATCAAGAGGCCCCAGACACAGTTAGTCACACATTTCACTCTGGGCTACTATTTTCTCTCCATTTTTATCATTTTGCTTCTTCTGTTCAGATATGTTTTTGAAGCCCAGCCTCTTGGTGTAAACCTGGAATTCTTTGCCAAAATAAAAAGGAAGGAAAACAAACTGAAGCATCCCCCACACGCAAACACATACACATCGTACATTTGTGATTCATCTCAGCTACTGGACTGTATACTTTCATTGTACACATAAATGATGGATAAAAACTACAAATCCAGAGCGTTTGGTTTGTTTTCACTACACTAGGAGACACCTGCCAAAGAACACCAGCTTCGCAGATCATGGATACCTACTCCTGTTGCACAGGCAACTCAGATTGAACAAGAAACAGAACAAATACTACATTAGTAGTATAGAATAACTTTTAAAAAATTCTTAGTAGATTCCCCAGTCACACAAACAGAAAAATACAATAACCCTGGCTGCTCCATGCGGCACTAAGACATCTTTTGAATATTGATGCACCCTCTGCCCTTTGGATCTGGCTTCTTTATTGGCAGATCTGCAGCTCAGCGGTCTTTCAGACTGATGGAAATACCCTCCAGACTCATGATTGCTGATTGCAGCAATGCAAAGGAAGCATAGTTCAAACTGCTAAATACTCCAATTTAAATAAAAAAGCGACTCATGCTTTCTTCTCAAAACTGATGTCTCAGGTTTGCACCCTCCTTGGTCTCCTGCTCTACGGAAGACATTTGAGTCTGTGACGGTGAAACAGCAGTGAAACAGCAGAGGTTATAGATGAAAACTGTCTCCTGGTGCTTCTTTGGTGACTGTTCTTGGAATAATATGATCTGGGCCAAGACTGCATATTTTACTGGCAATGAACCCATTTGCTTTGGAAATGTAAATGCAGTGGCTAGCATAACCATATACATTTAAGGAGCAAGGCATTAAGTAGCACTGTAACACTGGTCCACCTAAAGGAAGAGAACATCATTTGATCAGGCACAGGGACAACATCTCCCTTCCCTGCTCACCTTGGTGAGCTTTTAATCTGTTCCCACCTTCAAGATAAAGTCATTGCACGGGAGCAATGAAAAGCCCAAAGGGCTTTGGGGATGGATGTGCCCTGTATCCCCCCTCATGCCAGTCTACTTCGGACAGCAGCAACCCCTGCTGAAAGCCCACAAAATTGTATTTTCTGGATTAATAAAAGAACTGCATGTGAACATACATATGGTCTGTACTTCATGGACTGAATGACATTTAAAAGACAACCATAAGAGCATTAAACTATCCAGTAGAGGAGCAGATGGAGGGAGGGGAGACATTATCTTTTCCTTATCAAAGCTAAATTATATCACTGCTGGTCTCAATGCCATGAGGTACAAGTGCTTTTTAACTATGTGGAGGAAAAAAAATGAAAGGTATCTTATCCAATATTAAAACATGTGGTAAATTATTTTAACTTGGATATTCCTCCATTTCTTTTTATTGCAAATCTGCCTTTTCAAGACGAATCTTTTTTAACTGGAGGCACAATAGTCTTTCCTATATATTTGCTAAAGGGTATCATACATCTCCAACAAACTACTTGGAAAACTCTTCATAGAAACAGTGTACAGTCATTTTTACAACAGCAGCTGGAAAAAAAAAAGTCTAAATAGCAATTAATCCTTCCATTAAAAACCTAGTACGAACACTATTTTCTTCCGCAGTCTCAACAGCAATTTCCACTGAGCTCTGGACGCTGCTAATTTCACCGTTTGAAATCACTGGACGCCCATCGAGGGCACCTAACTCCCTCATAAGTTTAAGCTATTTCGTGGGTGGAAATAAAATAAAATAAAATACACGAGGATAGTTATCCACGCCTAATTCTGGCGCGTCTGAGAGGCACATTTTTTGCTTCCAGGGGTATTTTATGACACTGCTATCCCCTTATAGCTGCAGGATCCCAGGGCCGCGGGCGCGGCGACTCCCTGAGGCGCCGTGACGCACTCGCCAACCCCGGGCCCCGACAGCCGGGGGCGCTGCCGGCCGCCGCCGCGCGGGGCAGGGAGAGGAAGGCACCGGCCATGGCCGCCCCGGCCAGGCCTTCCCAGCGCCCCTTCCGCCTGGAAAAACAGCGCAGCCATTCGTTTCAGGCTAAACATTCCTGCCGAAATCTCTGCTTTAGAGATTAATGTCTTTTTTTCCCCCCCTCTCCCTATCAGACTCATTCCCTGTGCAAATGGCTGCCCTCTGCAGTGCAGTGAGATGAAGATGCAAGTGTCTTTGTACATAGCGTGACCCTATTTTATCACAGCAAACATTCGTGGACACCATGGGTGTTACTGGCAGTCTCTTAGGAAACCCAGGATCTTTTCTCCTGTTTGAATGGCACCAATTTGCGTCCAGGAGCTGTGATTCCCAAAGAGAATGGTTAGAGTGGCTCTGCTGTTGCGGCTTCTAGCCTAGCAGGTGACCACATAATCTGATGGTTATTAAACCATGAGGGAAGCCTGTTCTCTTGATTAGAGAGCCTCTTATTTAACAGGTTTCCCTTTTGATTAAAACACCCAGTTTGAAAGTTGCTTTTTTTCGCAGTGCTGTATCACCAAAATCGAGAGTGTTGCTCACAGGGGTGGTAAAAATGCGAAGGCGGCGCACAGGGTTTGCAGAGACAGGCAATGGCAGCTGGCACTTGCACAGCCAAACGAACGAGCTAGACTTGCCCCTAAAATAGGGAAAGGGATCAAGAGAACACATAGGGAATCAGCTTTGCACCAGGGCCACAGCCAGTCCCCCTCAGAAGCCGAGGGCTCCCAAACACAACAACGCACACCCTGCACACTGTATGAGAGCAAGGGCTAGCGTTTTGACAGTCTGCACATCTGTAGCAAATAAAACATGATAAAACTGCAGATGTACAGCTGAGCTGCTGCCAACCTGCACCCCAGATCTGGGGTACTACCATACAGCCGGGCTGCCATATGTCCACAGATCCTGGGCAAATAGAGTATCCAAATTCCACAGTTCTTTTAAGAGGAACAGAAGATCCACAGCAGAACCTGAACGTATGAGAGCCCTCATGAACATGGGCTGCTTTTTCTTCCAACTGCTAATGGTTCATTTTCCAAAGTAACTAATTCCAGCCAAAAATCAACACGGATCAGATCCTTTGCCCAGTGTAACTACTTCTTCTCCCTAGCATGACTCATTTTCTAAAGGTGGGGAACTGTGAGCAGTGAATCCAGGTTTCCACGGAGAGCCTAGAGCCTCACCTTTCCCCATTACCAAACATCCGACAGCCAGTTATCCTTGTACATCTGCCCAAACAGTACATGACAAAGATTGGAATTAGTATTTGTGACCAAAAAAAATATATTGGATACTTTTTAATCACACTAGAAGAACTCTAGATCAGTTTTTAGCCTCAGAGATACAGTGAAACAGGATGATAAAGTTTCATTTTCAAGCTCAAATTCAATAGTTCCGAAGCAGTTCAAAAGACAATCTAACATGTAAAGACACAAGATATACTGTTAGTCTATGATCATTATTTTTTTCTCAAACCAGTAAGATATCACACAAAAGATAATTCATATATTAACCCTAAAAATTACTGCATACTTTTTAAATATTTTGGCTTATTCACAACTGCCAAACCCCACAAGATAAAGTTCAAGATATTGCAACTATTATTTCAATGTTCTGTTCCTGCATTATCAGCTAACATATTTATTGCTTTTTCCTACATTTCTCAATTTTCGTGGTACAGCAAAGTGTTCTTATTAATAAATGATTTATCAATCAATCAATCTTCAATGTTCTATTGAAAGAGAAATCAAACTCATTGTTTCAGCTTTTACCATGGCACTTCGAATATAAATCCACCTGATAATTATCTCAACTTTATCAAAATTCACAATGGATAGTTCCCATTAACTTTTTCTGTGCACCAAATTATATTGTTTCTTCACAAAAAATGAATCCAAAAAGTTGATGTTACTGCTTCAAACAATTGCTTTTAAATGTTATGCTCCAACCTTTACTTATCCTAAAACTATGTGTCTTAAGTATTGTGCGTTCCATGTTTTCATCACATGTAAGTTTTAGTGTAGACTTTTAAAAAAAATACATAATACTGCTTAAAGATCCTTAAACTTGCCATGCTAAGTAATTAAAAAGTCAAAATTTAACCTGTGCTATGTCCTGGTGCTGTCTTAATATATGTTTAATTATATTATATCATTGGTTATTGTATTTCATTAAATCCAACTTGTCTAGCACTCTTCAGATCATTAAAACGTTCACAGAGAGATGCTGCATTTTCTGATTACAGTTTTTGGCTCCTATTTGTGTAGTCTTGTGTTAACAGTCTGATTTTCAAGTACATTTCTTGGTGACACTCAGCTTTGTCTGTGTAGGGCTCTTACTACTAAGTACTTGCGGCTGATAAATGCCATTCTTAACTGAGGTGATTTTCATTCTGCTTCGCTCCATTAGTTCAAAGTACAAAATTGCAATGAAAAGCTGCAATGTCCTTTCGGTAGTTTGACTCTGCATTGAGTTCACCGCTGCCCGTATTTGTCTAACTTACAGACTCATTTTGAGGGGAAAGGGGAGGCTTTGATTTCTTATCTTTTAAGCCTACCAAGGTGAGGGACCCAGTTCTGTGCCCACTTTTCATGCAATCAGTTCCAGGACATGCCCATCAGCTGAGGAAAGAGAATGACCCGTTTCAGAACGGAATGCAGTGCACAACTCTGTCCATATTTTGCAGACATTGAACTCAATAGCATTGACTTTAGTGGGAAAAGCCTACAATTCAGTTGTTTTAAATTGTCACTAAACTTCCCACAGCAAATTTCCTTGTGATGTGGGTAAACATTAGGGAAACTCTTGCCATGTAACTGCACCTTTTTAAGATTTTGAATTTCTCATCAGTACCTCGGTAATTACGTATTTATAGATGACAAAAATGCAGCGTGCAGGAATAGACCAATTTGTTCTGTACGTGCTTCAAGCCTTTCATGAATAAAGTAGTACCAAGGGTAGCCTTTCATGAATACAACCTTGGGGATCATGGAGTGCCCTCAATCAATGCATGGAACTCATGTTGACAGAATATATGGGAAACAGATTGAGGTATTAAAGCACATAGCCTCTGGTGTTTTAGATGTAAATACTACAACCATCAAATATTTAGACTCTTATGTAAGCAGTATGTCATTTTTTGAACAGTTACTGCTTGGAATAAATCTTTAAGGATGGAATTTTCTGAAGTGCTCAGTATTGGCCTAACTGCTCTTACTGAAATCAATCATAAAATTTTCACAACTTTGGAAGAGGGCTTTGTCTGTTTATAGGTTTCCACGGCACTAAGCACAATGAGTCTTGATCCTGCCTGGGCCCTTTGGACTCTGCTGTAATCTAAATAAATTGATTTATAGGAGATCACTCAGATAAATAATGAGGATACACACATGTACATATAAAATAGCTAGGGTTTTTAGATGATAGTTTAGTAGTCACTCAGAGCTTCAGAATACATAGCTCTTATCTTTGAGTACTGGAATTCATTTGCTTCCTTTTATATTAATCTAATTACCATGTCATTAATTTTCTCCTATATAATTCCACAAATCTTAAATTTCCAGTGACATATCCAGCCAATAAAATGTAATGGTTTCTTATCACAAGCTGTTCCCATTTTATGGGCACAAAAAAGCATGTTAGTTTGAGGATCAAATTTGTACTTGTGTCAGCAAAATAGAGTCTCTCATATTTCCATGAAAGCTGAGAGTGATAAGATTGATATGTAACTTCCATATTCCTAAGAACAGCCACCTTTGCTGGATTGGGATAGGTGAAGGGAGTGTATTTTTTATGGAATTATTGGAGTGGTTTGGTCTGATTGTTCTGTTAATTTACAGTATTCCTGTAAACATTCATTTATCCAGGGATGTAGTGCAGCTATGATTATTTTACTTTCATATACACACCAACTTCAAAAATATCTAAGAACATCTTGTTTTCATTCTAAAGAGCTACTGTGAGACCAAGACAAAACTCCTGGTCATCATCCAATATGGGATTCTAAAAGGTCAATAACACAATGTTTTTTTTCCCTATACTCTCCAAATAAAATGCTAAAAGTTATTGAAATGGAGACAGTAGCTCCACACACATTTTGCCAGGCACTTTTAAAGTGACTGCTGCCCTCATTCCCTCATCCCTCCACCAGCCACTTGTTCCCACCTCCCTCGTTGCTCTGATGCATCTGGTTTGAGATCTGTGTGATGAACCAAATCCTCTCTCTTTTCTTTGCAAGTTTACTTCTAACCTGGGTCAATTCCTGACCCAGTCCCAGCATGAGCCTCCAAGGAGCTGCACTCTGAGCAGCCAGGTCTGCCCCCAGAGAAACTGCAGCAGCCAACACCGACACCGGGAGAAGTATTTCTGAAGCTCCACAGACATTATTAGCAGCTCCCTCAGAAAAGCAGGAGCAATCATACATCAAATTATAAAATTGGCCAAGGGCCCCAGGAAGAATCAGGTAATGATGACAGCCTGGTTCATCTTTACTGATATTCAGGTGATGTTACCACTAACTCTAGCCCACTATGTATTTTACAGTAAGCACTACTAGTCTTAGAGATTTGCAAACTGTGTACATATATATATATATACACACATATATATGTATTCACTGCTTTATTCTAAAACTGTTTCACCACAAATGACAGCTCATTTCACAAACAGCTTATCTTATGGCTAAAGATATATAAATACATACTAAAAATGTTGCTGAAAGTCTCTGAATGTATAAAGCAGCCTGGTAGACATGGTAGTGATTGTAACACTGCATTGTAGACAGAAATGTTGAAGAAACTTGGCAAGAATCAACTCGTTTTAGCTACTCAAAATTCAGATTTTCTCAGTCTTGTCCTTCTGATGAATGGAACATATGGGAGTATTGTTCATAAAACTTGCATTGCTTTTCTAGATGTCTACCAAAATTCCTCATCATGACAATATTTACCAAGATACATATAGATTCAAATTTGAATTAATTACCTAGAAGTTTTTTCTGCACTCCCAGGTTTATTGGAAAAGAAAAATGCTGCAGAAGCAATGTGCTGTGAGTATTTAAAAGGCAATGTTATAGCAACAGAGGTAGTGGAGTGCCTGTCTGGGAAGGCAGCTATCCAGTTAAAAGCCATCGATGCTGAATGAAATAAAAGACAGGAAAGAAATCGAAGGCTTTGCCAAGAAGCAGTTTGAAAACTGACATTATAAACAAAACGCCTGTAAATCTAGACATAAATCTTCTCTTTGTATGCTGAAGGCTTCATAATATTTTACCTAGCATTATTACTTATAAACAAACATTTCCTGAAATACTGCATCACAAGTGGAGAACAGCCTTTAACCTTGTGTTTATCCACTCGAGAAGCACGTTATATATTATCCTTTATCCCTTAATTATGAGGACTTCACCTACTGCTCTCTGCTCATTTGAAATGCAGAACAAAATACAATGGATGTCTGAAGACTTAACAGGTGTCAACCAGATATTTGCCAGCTACTGCTACTATTCTACTGGGAAGAGTTGCTGTTCTATAAATACTAATTAGAGTTTTGCACATGATCTTGCTGAAATACCTAAGGTGATGAGTGGCCAGTTGTTACTTTTAAAAGATTAGCGCAATTTGAAAAACTAATGTCCCCAATGAGGCAATGCTCACACTGAATAATCAAGAGTTATAGCTGTTCTCTGCCCAAAGGGAATATTTGCTCACTTCATCATTTAGAAAATCTGCTGCCTCTTGAACAAGTCACTCTTCTATTTCACTTTGAGAAAGTTGCAAAACTTTGTGGAATTATTATAATGGTACAGTATACACACTTAAATGGTTTTCCACTGCTATGCCCACATGGCAGACTTTGCAAATAGCTTGTAACAACAGAGTTTCTAGTGTGAAGTCATGATTAACCAACTATGAAACAATGAGGTTACATTCAAAGCCAGCAAAGAAAAAATAAGATTACAGTAGAGAATAGAAAAAAAAATTCCTCAAATTCATCTTCCTGCAAACCTTTCTTCTCCACAAAAAACAAAGTCAAAATAACCCATACGATATTGTTTGGCTTTTTTTCTACTTCTTTTTTTTTCATAATTGTAGAAGCTATTATCGAGAAAACACATTAATGCAATAAAATCTTGGTGAAATATTTCTGAAAGACCAGATAATTTTAAGCAAAAATGCTATATGTCCTCTTGCAGCACATCCAACTATACCGAAATAATGTCTTGAGTTTAATCTTATCCAATTTGCCATGAAATGCAGCTGATGTAACATGATGTGACAATGTTGTATTTCTGTACATAAGCTGCAGTTCATTGCAGTGAGATTGGACTGATGCAACTGACGACCCCGTAGTATTCAGAGTCAATATAGCATGTCCCAAAAAACACAGAAAAACAAAAAGAGGGAGTCTGAACTAAGCCTGCTTAGTTTTGTTTTGGCTTTACCCCTCTGGGAAGGAAAAATAAAAACATTCAGTAAATTCTTTGCTGTGTACGGAAAAACAGGTATCATTTTAATCAGAATTTTTCTCCTTTTTTTCTTTATAAAAAAATAATCTTTCTTTACTAGGAAATCTTTTTTTTCTTATCCTCAGCATACTGCTTCCTCTTTTTAAGTAGCTCATTACTAGAAGTGTTTGGCCTTACTTCAAAAGAGAAGAATATGTCAACACCAGAACATCTGTGTCCACATCGAGTGCTTTGATGACAGTGATATACTCCATTTACATCAGGAACACTGAACTGAACCTTGATGCTGACTGCATTTAAAGATCTTACCCTACAGGGCAAGAGAATACAGGTCAAAAATGTTGATCTGTGTTTGACACACTCCATACTTCAAGAGCACTTGGCAGCGATTTGTTCTAGAGTCAAGAATCAAACTCACAAAATGTTGCAAAGCTTGAAGCCATGTTCACATAACTGTAATCAAAACAAATATTAAAATTCACAACCTCTGGAGGTGAATATACTTTTGATATGCAAGATTTTACAACATATAGGGTCAAATCCTACCCTTGAAATTAAATGGGAATTTTCTCATTTAAACCAGAAGGACATTACTGAAGTCTGTACGTCTCTTGTTAATAGAGATTACATACCCACATTTGTCAAATGCAGAAAGGAAAATAGACAGTTAATTATCCTAAAACTCAAACTCATCTATACGAAAAAGGGAGTGGAATAGTTGTGCATGACTCAGCATTGCTTTCAATCAGCGCGGCCAGGGGAAGGTGGAAGAATTCCAGTATGGATCACTCGCCTCCTGCAAGCACACACAATAACAATGAATTCCTCAAATATTTGATACAAAGCATTTCAGAGATGAAGGACTGAGCCCTCTTACAGAATATTTGCAGAGCTTGGTTTCCAGTAGTCTTACTTCTTTTAATTTGATTTTAAAAGCTTTTCTGCTGCTTCATGTTGTTATAATATAGCCTTTTCCAATTTAATTACATTATATCTGTTCAACTGCTGTGCTGATTTAAACATAAGGTGAAGAGTTCCTAGTGCTAGGTTTCATCCACAATTCTGAATTTTGAGTATACTCATGTAAACCTTAGCACTTTCACAGCATTGAGTGTACTGCTTACTACACAGTATCGCATGATATTGATAAAAAGCATCAAGTGGGATCAAACTCATATGACCTGTTCATCAACTCAACTCAAGAACCACAACTTGCAGCATAAACTGCGAGTAATAAATCCTGTTTTAACAAACAGAAAAACAGAGAATAATTTTGTTTACAGGTTTCACTAGAATGCCATGGAAACAGATGCAGAGGTAATCACAAAAGGGATAATCCAAGAGGAAGACTGCGCTAATAGAAAGCATATATCAAAAAAAAAAAAAAGAAAGTATGTGTTTTCCCACTTGGAACATACATATAACTCCTATTAAGAAATTACATTGAATAGACCCAATATCACTGAAGTCCTCAGTAATACTATGAAATAATGTGCATGCTCAAAGTATAATCTCAAAGATGTTTTCATACACAGAATATTAGGAAAGAAATCCTTAATAAAATAATGATATGTTTAAAGAAAAAAATAAAGCTAGGATTCCAAACAGGTTTAAAGTATAGTAGTAGCTCTGCATAAGGAAGCTGCTGAGAGCACCTGCTGCCTACACTGTGCCTAGCTCCAGGCAGTACTATTCATTCCTCACTTTGATGGGAGCACAATACACCCCCTAAAAATATAAAACACAAAAATAAATAGATCTCCTGAGAAGTAGAAGAGAAACCTGTTTCAAAAATAGTGAAAGAGCCTACAAGAACTAGAAAAAAAAGTCCATTTTGCATTGTTTAGAAGATTTACGCTTTAATTTGAAATGAAAAGGCATAAAATTTGTAAGAAAGCAGTATCTGATTTATAGGTCAACTTAACACACAAATATATTTTGTGTATATATAAGCTACAAGTACCAGATTCCAGTGAGAGAAAGTAGGCCTAACAAACATGGCCCTGAAGTGCCCCCAAAAGATTTTTCTGAAGTTAAACGGTAAACACAATTAACATGACTTTTGCTACAAAAACACTACACAATGGATTTTTTTAATTAATTTTCAATGTTATTACATGCTCCTATTGAGCTGAGATTGACTCCATCCACTAACTGCATTTTAGGACAGCTCTTCTGTCCGTATGATCTTACCATCTACTGAAAAAAAGCAAATAGCTGTATTGCTTGATCACATGCAGATCCAAAGAGGAAACAATATGGTTACTATAGTCTATATTATAGTATTAGAGTACTATATCACCACCAAAAATTTAACATTATGTGGGTGGAAATTTTGTGACAGCTGAAGTATTTCAGAATGATAAGTAAGACTCAGATAATGTACAGATTGAACAATGTATAATTAATTAACAAATAAAGACTAATAGCAGTAAAGGCTTACAAGAATACATTATTGTACAATTAAGGTCTAACCTCATGATCTGTATTCAAATAAATTTAGCTAAAGGCACATCATATAATTCTTGGGAGGCTTGCATACATTAGGACTCATTAGATTTACATTTTATTATTCACAGCAAACATTTCATTACATTTTCTGTGAGAAATATACCATCTATGTGAATATTCATGCTTGCTTCATGTGTGTGTTGTATATATTCTGCTGCCTACAACCAAGTCATTTGGCCTTCTGGTGTCTCAGGCTCCATCTGTAGTAGTAGATCAAATAGACCAAAGACTGTTCATCGCACGAGGTCAGCTCTCATAGCACAACTCACTTGCTCACCAAAGCAGAGGAACCAAACTCAAATAGTCTTTTGGAAGTAGGTCTTGCCCCAGTCTATTGCCTGTATCATTCCTAGGCAATGGCTAATTGGCACAGGACAAACCTGGGCCAAGGACTGCACGACACTCAGACAGGGAAACGGGTCTTTGGCCCACGCTCTGCCTGTTCAGCTTGGTCTTCTATCACAGTACTTGAAACAAGACACTATGACACCCTGACACAACAAGTAAGGCTGGAAAGGACTTCCAGAGCTCATCTTGTCTCAAGGAGAACCTGTTCTCACCACATGACTCTTACATTAGTATTAGTCTACTGTTACCAAAGCAGCACCTGAATGACAAGGTTTGGCTATAACGAAAGAGTACCAGATAAAACACACTTTTTCCTCCTTTTAAGCAAAGTCTTTGAAAGGATAACTTACCATTTTGGTCTACTTGTGGATTTCACCATTGGAGCCATTCCATCTCGATAGAGGCTTTTCGTTTTACTGAAGTTGACAACGTTGAATATCACCCTCTGAAAAAGAGCAAAGGAGAGAGCTGAGGCATAAATTACAAAATAGCCTACTCAGATCTCCAAACAAAAAGGCAATTCCCATGTGTTGCAGTTACTGACAGAGAGGGTGGTGGAAAACTGAGGGATAGAAAACCAGGCCTTGTGGAAACCTGGCTGCTTCACGTCTTAGAGCTTTTTACTTCTTTCTACCTGCCCAGGCCTCTGTCGAGGGTAGGAATGAATAAAGGCTTTCAATTTCCTTTCATCAAAGGAAGGAATATTTCTCTGCAGTCCCCTTGACAAAAGGGAGAATTTTCCTCTGCAAAAACTGTACAGTGTATTTGTACTAATACAGCAGAAACTAAGCATCAGTTGTTTGAACATAATAGAGAAGAAAAATATGAGTCTAATTCTGATCCTGTTATATATCATTAACTTTGAGGAAGCTACAGGTGATGTTTAACAGTTCAAAGGCAGCACAAGTTCTAGGTCCTGATTGGTAATGGACTGAAAGTAAATTCCATCTGGGGCAAAATGTAAAACCAAGAAACCTTCTGTCTGCTGTAAGTCATATTTTATGCAAAATTACTTGTTCTGTTGCTGTTAAAAAAAAAAAAAGTCAAAATTAGACCTAGTTCATCCAATGCATTGTATTTACTTTTCAGCTATTGGTAGCCAACATTTATATACACAGAAAAATTGAAATCCAAACACTAAATTCATTTTGATATGATGTTCCAGGATATATTAATACTTTCCATGTGTATGGTCCTCTCTACATTTCTTTCCACCTGACAGAAGTGAAGAGGTGCTGTTGAAAATGTGATTTGCCCCTATGGTTTGTTCTAAAAATGTCTCATTTTAATGCTTATACTCCTAAATAATAGTTAATGAAATGTATGAGTATTAAAGGGTCAGTGTTTGAAATCAAGCATTTTTGACTAAATCACAGTAAGATTAATTATGCTTTCATATGTAAAATTTCACAAAAACAAATCTGGACCTTACAGGCAGCCTGTTCCGACAACAGTGAATTATAACATTAAAGCAAAAGCAATTGGTGGTAGGACATGGCCAACATGAGCCAGGCACAGCTACACTGACAGGTGGGGCAGACAAGGAATTGAGGTAAACCACCTAGTCCCAGTTAAGCATCTCTGTAATCAAGAAAAATTAAGAAAGGTTTGTGGAGGAGTGACAGTGCTGAAGATTTTGTAAATGGAGGCACAAGCTGCTACGTATGCAGACTCTGCAAATTAGTCAATGTCTAAGAATAGCCAGTAGGTTTTTACTGGAAGTGATTCAAAAACAGTAGCAATTTGAGAATAACACTATTTTAAAGCTGTTAATTCCTTTTTTTTTTTTAAAAAAACCAATTATAATGATCAAACTACACAGCTACATATATGAGTTTTCCATATATTTTCTCTATTATAATATTTTGAGTTTTTCTAAGGGTCATTATATGGGTTTTTTATTATTTTTCCTTATGTTCACAGTGTATAGCTAAGAGTTGAGTAGCTACATTTAGTTCTACATGTAAGTGAATGTATTTCATACTATACATGGAAGCATTTTTCTGTATTAGGATACTGAATTTTTCTGTTACTTAACTCTGTTCATATTTGTGAAAACAAATTAAGTTGCAACAAATCTTGATGTTTGCATGGAGTGAATGAAACAAACAAGATCTCCAAACCCATTGCCTTAAACTTCAGATGCAATCACGCCACTGTTGGAAAGAGAAAGTTGCTAATTTTGTTACATACTGACTCAGAGCAGACAGCTGGTAGAGAATGTTCTTATTCCAATCAAGCTTATTTTGTATAATGAGTTGGGCAAATGTACACAACTGGGTAAGCAACGTATATAAAAACAAAAATATGCAGCTCATTTAACAAAATACTGCAGATTATAACATTTCCACCACTCGTGTTCACCGCACAGTAAGCAGTTAGCAATGAGCGCAGTTCTCCCAGAATGATATACAACAAGATTGGCAGCACCAAAAATTTAACAGCACAGAACAGAGCTTTATCAAAGTACACAGCTAAAGTAATAAAGTACACAAACTGAAGCACTCAAATAAGCAGTTGAATGCAGTCTCGTATTCTTGGTGATAGTTATGGTTTTTGCAGCTCAGTCAGTGAAGGATGCAGAAATGTAATAACTATAGAATACCCCCCCCTTAACCAGAAAAATATGCAACTTGCGCAATACAGTATGCAAACATCTTTGAACCAAAAATATTATAGAAGTTTGTGATACAGTAAGCAAACATTTGTTGAACAAAATGGTTAGCTATCGGTCTAATTTCTTCATGTTTTGATATTTTTACAGACACTTTCCACTATAAAGAGGAACAAGGCTAAAAGCAGAGATTACAGTATAGATATTAAATATTCTAAGAACCATAAAGCTATTGTATTATTTTTTAAAGCTAAAGTTATTCTTATGAATTATAGAGACTTACAATAGGTGGTATTTAATGAATAGTATAAATTACATACATGCTCGAAACCAAGAAAAAGAAGCACTAGCAACAGTTTAAAAAAAGTGAAGTTAAGAAAATAACACCAGATGAAATGTTCTTAGAAATTCCCTAGAGATTACTCTGGTTCCCCAGAGTATCAATTCAGAGGAAAAGTGACAGAAATCTTCATAATAAAAATGCTTCCATTTAATTCATTTGGGGGGGGGCATTAATGCCCCTAAAAGCAGCAGCATTTTAACTGATGCTGTATCAAAAATTATAATTACATATACCTGTCCCTTGCAGTTACAATATATTTTCAGTTGACTACTTTGAGTCTTCCTAACAAAGCAATGGGTGATTTCTAGGTGGGTAGAACGGCCACATGAGAGAGGAGCCTCAGCTAGGCCTAACTCTGGCATCATGGTGGCTCCTTGAGGCTGAATGGTGGCAACAAATGACAAGAAAATGAAGCTCGGTGGCCCCCGACTCCGTGTGCAAGTCCAGCACTTCTGAGCAAGGTTCTGCGTACTGAAATAACATGACAGAGCTCCTCTTCCCATCAGGTGCGTCCTCAGGATGCATCTAGGGGTGCACTTTGTTGCTGAACTCAGGAAAGTGAAGAGAGGCTTGGCTCTGCCTTCAGCCTTAAAATTCACTATTGACTTATATTTGCTTTGCTTTTCCTAACAGTCCTGTACAAATTCACTTCAGGAACTAAAAAGATAAATTGGTGTTCAAGAAGGCTTAGTGATTTCAGAATGAGCAATATTAAAATGAAGGGTTGAATACAAAAGAAAAGGATGAGCTAAGCATGCCATACGTTTTACCTCATTACCAGAGATTCGTTAACAGTCTCCAGCCCAGGACTGGGAGGAGCTGCTACATTTTTGTGAGGAATAGAACAAACGAATATGGTTTTGAACCAGAGCTGAAGGAATTGAGCATGCTTGTTGAACGTGGACATGCTAGGCTCCATATTCCAACAACTGCCTTTGTACACAGGTGAACTGCTGTGATTTTTAAAGGTTCACTGTAAGTCACGCACGTTCTGGCAGGTTTTCCATCTGAACCTACCAACTGAGACAAGTTCCTAACAGAAAAGTCATCTCTTGCAAAAGGTTAAGCACCATCTCCCAGCAGAGGAGCACCAGGTCTCTTCAAAGATATTGCCAGGTTCTTTTGCATGGTTTGCCCTCACCTGCCTCTCTAGAAGAGCCGAGTTGCTTTGGCTGACATTAAAAGAAGAAAACAAACCAAAAAACACAAAATCTAGCCAGAGGCAGACACCTGGCACAGAAAATATGTTGTCAAATCATTACAAGTATAAAAAGTTACAAGTAACTGAAAACGGTTTGTATATAGGAAACTGGGCATTTTCAATGTTTATATAATACACATGTATTGATATTATTGATAACATAATAATGCCAGTTCAGCAGATGAGGTTGTATCCTTAAGTATAAGCCAGCAAGGCACATGGGGACCAAATGTTTGAAGCGACCCGAGCAAAGTCCCTCCATGCATCCAACCCGGGTGAGCGAACTGGGCATTGCCTAGAAACAGAGCTGGAATTTTACATCTGAGCTCTTGTTCTTTGAATGAACATTAAAGATCCAAATGTCTTGGGTACTGTGGGGATTTACTTCCTCTCCTGCCAGCTCTTTAGATATTACAGTGTTCTGTGAATCCCTGAAACCTGCATCTCTCTGTGAACTGGGTCCTTGCCCATGGGAAGAATCTTGGTTATCCTTTTCTCTTTACCATTCTCTTTCTCTCTTTTTCCCCTCTTCCTCCTTTTAACCATTCCTCTTTCTTTTCCTTTATAAATGTAAATTTTCATATCTTTTAAAAGGCAGACCTCCTTTAGAATTATGACCATTAAAAATAAAAAGAAAATTAAAAGAACGAGAAAGGAAATTAGAAGAAATTTCTTTGTAGTTATGTTAGTTAAGCCAGCCTCATGAATCAGGAGATTTTGGCTCATCAGATCTCAATGAGAAACAAGCGACCTGAAATTGTTCCCGTTTTACCAAAAAATGTGCTATATTTCTGTTTATAGAACTCTAGGATCTTTTGTGATGAAGCATCTTATGCAAAACTAGGCAATTATAAGTGATATTAATTATATTGGAGGAACTTCAGAACAAACAGAAAAAAAACATTAACTGCAATTGTCATTGACGATGATGAACAACAACATTCAGATCTGTGCAAAATCCCCAATGAAAATTTGTAAAGGTTACTTTTCTGACCTTTTAAAATTTAGTTCACTCATTAGTATTAGCATTTAAAATAACCCATACTTTCTTTCTCCCTTTATAGGGAATGCATCTTTTCAACTGAAAGTTTTAAATGCTTACGGCATTTAGCCTTTTTACCTTCGGTTTAAGGAGTATTTGAAAGTTTCTAGCTGTCAGAAAGGGAAAATAAATATGCATCTACTGAGGGAGCATGGTAGGAACCATCCAAAGCCCAACCAGATTTGCTGATCGGTTGCACCTGTGTCTTGTTAACTGGAAATTGTCAAGTCTTTCCAAGGTGCTCA